CCTATTCCTTGTCCTACAAGAAAGAGAGAACTAATTATGGCATGTGGCATATATGGTAAGTAATATATAAGATATATATTATGTAATCCTTCTCCTAAAGAATTAGGGTTCCATAATACATACTACAATGAATATATACCATATATTATTAATAATACACATTACGAACTTAATAAAATCACAAGTAAATAAATAGAAAAACTTCTCTTTAATTTATTTTGCTTGCTAAACAAGAAATCTTCTTAAAAACACAACGGTTTTTCGGACGATGCCAAACCAATGTTCTTACAGTCTCCCCCTTTGGCATTCAGTTCGAAAACTGTGTTTCTTGAAGATAACCTACAACATACTCAAAACAACAAAGCAATTATCTATGCTCGAACATCAAGAAGTAAATTACCTAAACACCTGCAATGTAAGAACATCAGAACAGTTCCTATAAAAAAAAAACTATGATCAAAGCAATCAAAACACATCAAGCTATCAGAACTTAAGTCAAATAAAGTGACCAATTTATCTTCCCCTGTCAGAATAGACAAAACAGTCAATGTAACGCCCAGATTTTTAATTACTATTTATGGAGCTCGACTATATTTCCATAAATATTAAGTTTCTAAATTTGATGCATTTATTATATTTATTTGCATTAAATTAAATAATTAGTATCAATAAGCCATGAATAATTCTTTAGACTTTAATTATTAAAGTTGGAATTTTATTCAAGTGATCCGAAGCCGGATAATTTGATTATTCAAGCCCAACTAATTATCGAGCCAATTCAAATAATTTTAGTCGGCCATTTTTAATTCGAGTAGTCGAATTAATTTTCAAGACCAAACGACATTTTAAATATCGAGCCCAATTCAAGTCACATTTCTAGCCCGACATTATTAATTGTTAGGCCCGGTTTTAGGCCCAACAAGGGAGAAAACCCTAAGCTCACTTGCCTCATCTATAAATAGATGTTCCCTCATCTCCCAACACACATCAAAACCGTAGCCTCTTTTTCTTACTATTCTTCATCCTCTCTACTCCACCATCACCATTTACAAGATCTAGTTCCAAACTCTTCCATTTTTAAAGATCTAGCTTAAATATACACATAATGACATAGCTCCATACACTAAAACCATGACTTGAGCTTTTTCCTCCTCCCATTTTCGGCGAGAATCCGGTGAGCCCCCGCTCCGGCAAGCCGCGCCTGCACCAAGCTCGCGCTGACAGCTCCTCCTCAGCTCGTTCACGTCTAAGTCCGAGCCCAACCGCACCACCTTGGACCGCACGTCCATATCCCGAGCCCACGCCGTTCTATCCACTTTCCTTGGCCGACCACTGTATGTAAATTATTTTCGTGTTCTCGGCCCTTTGAGTTGTTAAAAGCATTTTACTAGTGTTAATTACGAAACTCACCCTGCGTTTTAGCTCAAATTGAAGACAAAAACATGTAGTTCTTTTCAAAACAATTTATTCTTTATAGATGTGTTAGCCAATAATCATGGCTTAAGTACTTGTTTCCTGAATATATCACAGATCTATGTTTTACATGAGGAAAACAAAATTTGTCCACTAAAAGTCAGTAATAAAAGAATTAAATTATCAAGCGTACAATTTCAATAGCATAAATTATATGGCAGAAAAATTAAGGCTAGGCAGTGGAAGTAAATTTATTCAAACTCTCCTCCATGAGCTTAGACATGTATTGTGATTAATTATAAAAATGATAATTTGAGGATTTGAGTGTTTGTTGGGTTTGGGATTTACGAGCTTGTAGCAATTTTCGAGACTCTTTTAAATAAATGTGATAAAATACCGAAATAATTACCATTAAATTTGTTGCGTCGTTTTGAGGCCTAGGTATAAATTGAGATTTTTTCGGACTTTGTTTGATAGGTAAACGAGCCGGTCAAATGCGTTGAACGGCCGTAGCGATGTGGAGTTGACTAGTCTAGGGGTTGACTTTAGACTTGTTATTTTGGCCATAGATCACGTTTATGTTGAGGATGTTACATTTTGATTTCGTGAAGTTTGAATGTCATTTGACTTAGTTATAAAAATCGAGACTTTAGACGTTAATGCAGTAAAAATAAAATAAAATAATCGTTTGATTGAGATTTTTGCTGGAGTTGTGGATTATAGATTTATTATAAATCACATAGAATGTATATATATATATATATATATATATTAATTATTGGCCTTAAATGAGTTAGGAGTTTCGAGAATCGAACCCTATTTTTATCCGGTTCCGATAACTGGGTATTTTTCAGGATCCGACTATAAATGTATGAACCCTAGTACCGTCTGGATAATTATTAGTCGTCGTATCGTCAATTCGTAATGCGTATCATCGTCTTGCGCACGTGACCGTCTCTCGTCCGATTGTTGGAGCCGAAACGCCGAGTGCGTGCCCGTGCACCGAGTCTGAGTCAACCCCCGAGTGCGTGCCCGTGCACCGAGTCCATCCGACTTGTCGTCTACGC